CCGTCCGCAGCCCCGGCCCCGCACACACGGGTCCGTTATCCGGGGGCCCATCCCCGCACACACGGGTCCATCATCCGGGGTCCCATACCCGCACACACGGGTCCGTTATCCGGGGGCCCATCCCCGCACACACGGATCCATCATCCGGGGGCCCATCCCCGCACACACGGATCCATCATCCGGGGTCCCATCCCCGCACACACGGGTCCGTTATCCGGGGGCCCATCCCCGCACACACGGATCCATCATCCGGGGGCCCATCCCCGCACACACGGATCCATCATCCGGGGTCCCATCCCCGCACACACGGATCCATCATCCGGGGTCCCATCCCCGCACACACGGGTCCGTTATCCGAGGTCCCATCCCCGCACACACGGGTCCATTATTCAGGGTCCCATCGCCACACACACGGGTCCATTTTCCGAGGTCCCATCCCCGCACACACGGGTCCGTTATCCCAGGTCTCATCCCTGCACAAACGGGTCCGTTATCCGGGGTCCCATTCCCGCACACGCGGACCCATCGTGCGGAATCCCGGCCCCGCACACGCGGATCCATTGTCCAGCCCCATTCCCGCACACCCCGCTCCCTCCTGCCGGCCGGGAGATCGGAGAGGGGGTCTGTTCCTGCCCGCTCCGGGGCTCTCCCACACGCCCTCTGTGTTTTATTTTCCTCGGGTCCCCAGCTGGCTACAAACTGCAGCTGGGAAGGGGATGAGAAGGCAGCGTTTGCACAAAGCCTGCACACATCACGGAACGGTTCAGGTTTGAGGGGACCTTAAAGATGATCATCCCCACGGGCAGGGACACCTTCCACTAGGCCAGGTTGCTCAGAGCTCCACGAACACCCCCAGCTGTGTTTTAGCCACAACCAAACACACTCTGTGCCCTCTGAGCATGTGGTTGTTGCAAATCCAATGACACCGGCAGGATTGCTGGGGCTCTCCCGGTGCCACAGGTCTGGTGTGAGCCAGGCTGGATGCATCCCTGCGCCTGAGGATGCAACACAGACCCCTTTGGAGCTTCCCCCACAGGCATGTGGGCCTGGGTCACTTCAGACCCCGCAGTTCACACTCAAAATGCTTCCAACCTGCCCTCTACCCACCCTGTTCTGTGATCACTTCCAGATGGGCAGATGCTGCTGAAGGGCCCCTTTGATTTCAAAAGGTCTCTCTGCAAACACAAAGGTCACTGTGGCAGCAGGATCAGGGCCCCCGGAGAAAGAGCTTTGCAGGAGAAGCACAGAAATAAATAGAAACAACCATTTAAAGCCACGCTTCCAGGCAGAGAGATCACTCTTGTCCAAATAGTGCTTTTTGTGTGACCTCACACAAGTTTTAACCCTAAATTTTCACAGCTCCCCTCCGGCAAATTGGCTCCTTGGAGTGCTTTTCGGGACAATAGCAGAGCTAAAAATAAGAGAAGAAAAAGTTAAGAGGTGCAAACAGGGGAGAAAAGCAGTGACTCAGCTGGGATACAAAAAGAGAGGGAGGGCCCACAAGGTAGGAACCCACAGGAAGGCAAAGCCTCAGGACAAAGGCTGCAAAGGAGAAGGCCCCACTCACAGGGAATTTATTCAGAGGAGATTATGCAAAAAGACAGGAGGGGCTGGAAGGAAGAGTGCCACGAGGGCAGTGGGCACAAAGAACCCTTGGAGGACTTCCAGACTCACTTCTCTGGATCCCAGCCCAAATCTGGGATCCACATCCCTGTGGCACTGGGTCCATCAGCTCCCAGCTGAGCCCCAAGGACCAGAGCACAGAGAGGTCCCGTGGCAGTGCTGGGGGATAAAGGATAGTGGGAGATCAGGCCTCCTGCTCCCTTCAGCTCCACACCTTTGTGGGAATGTTCTCTCCCAGCTGCAGCTTTCAGCAGTGGAGCCTGGGGTGGGAGAGGTAATTCCAGACTGTCCCTTACCGTGCTGCTGAGCAGCAAAGCTGGCTTGGAGCAAGTCATATTATTCTTCTCCTGGTAGTTCCTAGAGCAGAGGAAATCAGGCTGGCTCAGAGAGCTCTTCCCAAGGCTCAGCAGCTCGCCAGGAATGCTGCAGTCCTGCAGATTGCAATCTGAGCAGGGCACAGCTCCGACCCGGGCATGGCAGACTTGATCCCAGCCCCGAAAATGAATGTCCAAGATAAGAAATCCCGGAGGGTGGGGAGAGGATTCTAAAGAGTGAATAGTTCTTAGCAGAGAGCAGGGGAGAGAAAAGCAATCAGGGGGCACGGAGGAGGGGGGGGGAGAACTTTGCTGAGGTTTGGAAGGGACTGAAAGCTGCCAAGGGAAGGGGCCAGACTGGTCAGCAGGTGACACCTGGAATTACTGAAGAGCAAGGGCAGCTCAAAGACTTGGGGACAGCGATTGAACCAACACTTCACTGGTGTCAATCAGCCTCTTCTGTCTTCACTGCTTGCTCCTAATGCATGGAGTCTCTTTTCTGAACTACAGCAGAGGTGAAACACGTCTTACACTCAATGTACCCACTGCAGGATCAGTTGCCTTTAATTTTCCTGAATGTTAATGATCTGGGCCAAGATTTTCTGGTATGTGAGCACGTTGCAGTCTTTTACTGGGAGGAAACTTCCATTAAAATACCTCAGCCACGACTGAGAACAAGGTTAAGGAAAAAAACATGCTGTTAAAAGAAAACACTCTTCACTGTGCTTTGTTGTGAAGTTCCAGTGCGTGGGAGCAGGGAATTACAATCTGACACAGGGTTTGCCTTGGTGCCTCTGTCATCCCTGGGGAAAACCACTAATATCTGGCCAAGCTACAAATCTTCATTCCCTCTTCCTCACCTCAAAACTTCATTTACAGCAGCTCAGTGTCACAGGGGTGCCTTGGAAAACCAGGAAGGGATCGATGTCCACTAAAGCTGGACTCAAAGACTTGCTGTGAGAGCTCGGAGCTCAGGCAAAAACAGAAGCAGAGGGTGTGAGAAGTGCTGGAGCATCCACACAAGGCTCTGTGGGTAACCTTTTTGCAAGAGCCCTGCCTCCCTTTCATGCAAATTTACCAGGCAAACAAAAATGTTTGTAGCCACCCTGTCTTCACCACTTGCCACCCACTTGTTGCTGCGTGCCTGCTGTCAGGGATGAGGAATAAATAACCTGCACCATCTTCCCCCTTTCCCCCATTCCAGGAATGCATCTGACCCGTGTTGTGTCAGCCCTCCCACCCCCCAAAAATAAAATAAAATAAAATAAAATAAAATAATAATGATAATAATAATAATATCCTTTCCCCTCATAATCCAGAACCTGCTGCAACTCTCTCTTATACAGTCTAGGATGTTTCCTGCCCTGAACACAGGAGGTTTTAAGAGCAAGGAGAGTGAAGGTGCTGTTTCACCCCATGTGAGTAATCAGTCAATACTCCAGAGGCCATTAGCATCCCAAGTTTCCCCTCCCGTGGAGGAGAGAGCAATAATTACTGCTACTTTCTCAGCAACTTACAGTAAGACTCTACGGCCAGTTTGCTTATTACGAGCACGAAACCAAAGCATTTTAAACACCACAACAACAGCACCACGGGCACATCAAAGGGTGAGAGTGTTTGTTGTGAACGAGCTGCTTATTTCTAAGAAACAACCCCTGGAACCCAGCGGGGAGCTGGGCTGGGGGAGGCTGAGGAGCAGCTTGCTGGGAACTGCTCTGCTGCCGGGGACGACTCAGCTTCCCTCGCCTTTGGGGGGGCAAAACACCCCCCTCCCACCCTCTGCCCTGCCCGGATGGGGTGCCTGGAGGGCTGCAGGGGGGCTCCCATGCAGGTGCAGCACCACACCCCTTCCAGATCTCAGCTGATGTCGGTCCCACACAGCTCTGCTGCTGCAGGAACACGCCGGCGTGGTTCCCCTCAGACTGCTGAGTCAACAGCCACGGCGCTTCCCAAGGAGCTCCAGGTCCTCCAAATTGCCTCTGCTTCTTCAGAAAGGCCTTGTTTTGCCATTTCAAGTTGCCTTTGCCCCTGGCACCGTGGAGTGTGTGAACAGGAATTCAGTGCAGGAAGCTCTGGCTCTCATGGAAGGGACACATTCAGCCTCTGAAGGTCTGGGCCATTCCCAACTGCTGGGGCCCTAAAAGCAACAACAAGCCTTAAATGTCCAGCCTCAGCCCTCCCCCTGCAAGGGGGTTAATTGGGCTGTGGCTAATGAGCTGCACACAGCACCCTTGCCTTGGTTAAGGTGTGGAGGAGATGGATGGAGCAAGGACCAAAGCTGCTGCATCCACCCCTTTGGTCAAGGCAAGAGGTTTAGGTCCACTTATAACAGACCAGGATTGCCCCCAAACTGCCATGGGAAGAGCAAGATCCTGACCCTGCTGCTGCTGGGAAGCAGGATGGAGTTGGATGGAGGTAGAACAAGGGCTTGAGGGGCCTCCCCTGCACTCCTGGGGCGATGGATTCCCCTGGGGAGCCACTGACAGCTTTTTCCAGCAGGGAAAACACTGCAGTTCGCTCATCCCAGGGGCTGCAGAGCCGAGCAGAACCCCAGGAAACGTCCCATCCTTGCAGCCTCAGGGCTGTGCCCTGATCAGATCACTAAGCCAGGCAGGCTTCTCCTTCCAGCACTGCCTGAGAGCTCACACACAGAGTTCAGGGCAGGAACGTGAAGCCAAAGGGGAGGAAAA